AACCGAACCTAACCCCATACGGAACATTATGGGTAATATCAGTGCAGATTCTACGAAATATGACTAAACAATCTTTACCTACATTTGCTGCTCATCCTGTAATTTCCTTACAAAACAGGCCAAGATACAATCATACCTATGAATTACCTTGGAGATTTTAAAAAGTCAAGGCAATATGTTGACATTAGAAGTTTGGATCGCAAAATCTACATCGAAAGTATAGAGACATCACACTGTGGCCGTTGAAAAGAATTTCAGCAACTCAAGATTCGTGAGGTGCTAACGAATAACAATTAATTACTGCAGCAACAATGCGAATACGACCACAATACTGATCATTCATACTGAATGCTAAAAAGAGCAAAAAAACACTTTTCGTTCTGAAAGAACGTATCAGGCATCCATATCTGTTGTGTAAAATCGGCCTGTTCCGAAGCGGCTAGTACGACGAAAGGAGGCACAACAGTGTTTTCATCAGCGAATCGTTCATAAGCCAATCGCAAATCTCGCCATTCTTCACGGAACGTGAACTGCGCACTGTACTCCATGTTCACGTCATCGATCTTCGATATTGATCGCAAATAAATGTTTACTGAGACCAATACTGGTCCACCGGTATCTGACAATCAACTTATTGTTTTTTCACATAGTCGCAATTCACTTCATCAAACAATAAAACTGACAATAAAAAACTAACAAACCAGGCCATGATAAATTGCCTCCACGCGGCCGTACTCTCCAATCGTAATCTTTAAGCGCTCGTTGAATTATTTCTTGCTCTTTAAGTTTTTTCTTCGCATCCACAAACCATTTCGTCGTCGTTATTATCAGTGAAGAACTTATCACAAGCAATATGAACCGCATCATTCTTATTTAATGACTATTTGAAGCACATTATCAACTCATTCTGACACTCACATCCAACCAATTCAAGACTACATATGCATTTATATATCTCATCTCCAAATCTAAATATCAATACTTTGCACATACGTCTGCAATACATTTTTAACATATACATATATATCCATCACTCTATCTTTCTATCCGTCAAATCATATTCTGTCTTCTACACAATCTCTTAAAAGCCAATCTCATAATCTTATACACTGGTACTTTATCCTTATCTATATCCACCTCCTTCAACATTTTTCACTTCTTCCAAGGAGGGAACTTAAAATACGCACGCATATTCTTCTATTCAATTATAGAATAATGAAAGGAGCGTAGAAAGGCGTAACTCCGCTAATCGCTAACTCGCTAAAAAGATACTTTTGTCCCGTTAACAATAATCCGCTAGTAGCACCATTGACGAAGAGTGACGAAAGCGCGTCACAAGAACAGCCACTAATCGAAAAATATAGCGGTACTCAGCAAAATTAGTCCTCTATTAACTAACTTCGAATCTTTTGTTTCAGAATCTGCAATTACACAGCTAATTTATTAGGGAAAAGCCTTATCATAACAAAAACAGTTTAAAATTTCTATTTTGCCATTTAGCATCAAAAAATTCTCCCAACAATAAACACCAATCATCATTCAAAGAAAAGTTCAATCAAGAGATGACAATCAAATTCAAGGATGAATAACAATCAACTGGCAGCAATCAAGAATATCTGTTGATTTTGTAGATTATGTAACAAAAAGTACAGAATATCTATAGATTTATTAGATTATCTAACAATAGATAAGTCATATTTTAACACGTACTGGCTGACGCTTGCCTGGGAATCATCTGATGTAAGGACTAGACTTGTTTAGGCTCAGCTCAAGCTTTCGATAAAGATGACGCTTTTATGTTAGCATCAGCCAACTTGTTTTAACCAGTTGTTCTCAACCCTTTTATCTCCCGCATTCCTTTAACAAATTTTTTAAATTACTCCCGCAACATCCACTCCATATCTGCCATTTACCACAGCGGGTGTCTGTAGAGTGGACAAGTGTACACCATTAAATTAGCCATTTTAAAAACACATATGTTAAAGTACACATCACTTTCTTGTATGCGCTGAAATCCACCGTCGCCTACTTTAATGGATAAAAGATGAAATGTTTTCTCGCATCTCCTGGGATACTGTCGCGCAGTCAGAAGGGATGCGAGCACTCCTAGTTGAGAGACCCTGGTTTGAACTGATGTTAGACGAAAAAAGGCAGTGTGCAATATGCAGCAATCCCCGAATGCGATTATAGTATGATGAGTAATTTTTGATTGAATACTGTTAATGATATTTAGATGAGCGACGAGAACTGCGGTTTTAAGTTATTTAATAACTGATGGCAGGAAAAGAGAGGGGGAAGCCGAAGTGAGAAGAAGGATAAAAATCGGATGGAAATCGTTCTACATATATAGGGAATTTTTCACTGATAGGGTGGACGGAATGGCTTTGAAACGACGTCTGCATAATGAATGTGTTCGTCCGGCGATGTTATACGGGTCAGAAACGTGGACGGTGACAAAAAGAATGAAAAATATAATGGGAGTAGCCCAAATAAGGATGGAGGGGTTGATGGTAGGGGTTAAATTACGGGATAGGAAATCGAATGAATGGTTGAGAGGAGTAACGAAAGCTAAAGACTTTGTAAAATGTGCAAGGGAAAGGAAAATTAAGTGGGCAAGAAAAATTGCAACAATGGACAATAACAACTGGGCGAAGAGGTGCACAGAGTGGCAACCTAGAATCGGAAAAAGGAGTCGGGGTCGACCGAAAATGAGATGGCGAGACAATATTTGCAAAACAGCCAGCCAAACACGGATGAGAAGATCA